TTTACCCCCCCCCCCCCCACCACACACACACACACCATATTATACCATGATACCTTTTGAGAAGCAGGGGAAATTGCATTATACAAAGCTGAAAGTTTGAGTTTTGCACATTTGTGACATGAATTGATGAGATTTTTCAGGTTTTCAGCACCTCCACACATGTCAATTGTTTTATCTCTAGTCTTGATCAATTGCTTCCACATCCATGAATCCCCCGTTTTGCATTTAACTTGCCATATATCTCTTTGCTTTAAATATGTCCCATGGACCCATTTAATCCACAAAGATTCCTTGTTTGTGTGTATGTGCCAGATACACCTAAGAGCTAAAGCAACATTCCACATTTGTGCAGAAAAAACTCCCAGGCCTCCATGTTTTTTATTCATGCACACCTTCTCCCATGCCACCAGTGGAATTTTTAAAGCTTGATCAGTTTTGCCCCACAAGAACATTTTGCATATTTCATCAATTTTTTTCAACACACTGATAGGTAATTAAGATATAGTTAGAAATCCAGAAAATTTGGATTCCAAGAATCACACTCTTGATTACTTGCAATCTACCTGCATATGAGAGGTTCCTGACCTTCAACCATTTTTTGAATTGACCTGTAATCCTTGTGAAGAGAGGATTACAATCCATGTACCTCAGCCTTTTTGAAATTAGAGGAACCCCCAAGTAGTTTACATGCAATTTTCCTTCAGGGAAATCCAAAAGATTATGAAAGGAGGACATGATTTTATCATCCACCCCTCCATAAAAAATAGAGCTCTAAAAATTGACTTCACTTGTATGTTTACAATGGAGTATAAAGTTAGGGTCATTTGTAATTAAATACCCTAAGGTTTTTACCTTATTTTTAACTTTAATTCTCAAATTTTCTTTTTGCCTAAAAATTACTGTAAAGTTAACAAAATTAAACTCAGACACCCCAAAACTTATTTGCCCAAAACATACACAAAAATTCAATAAAATGTGACCTTAACCCCAAATTTAAAATTTTTATTATTTTTTGTTAAGGTTTGGGCTATCAAATTTAAACCTTTACTAAAGTTTGAGGCATCAAAGATACTTTAGTTGAACTTTGAGGGGGTTTTCTCTACAAAGTTCTAAGGCCAATGTGAAAAAATTATGGAACTTTAGTGCATAAACTATTGCAAGCATCTATAAATTTCATATGGTATATTATATTACGTTTCAGCAAGCACTAAACGAATTGCCTTGATCATTGAAACTGGGTGACAATACCAATAATGTTTGTTTTGAGTATTAAAGTGCAAATAACCCAACTAAATTTTGATGGGGGTGAACTTACCTATGGTAAAATGATATTTGGAGTTGGGTCCATATAACAATCACTTTCATACAATGTCTCACGTAAACCAAGCAATGTAATTTTATCATTTGAGGATCCTCAATAGAATCCAAAACAAATAATGTAAAAGCTAAAATGTAAAGTGATAAGGTGGACAACCACTTTCCATGTGGTGTCATAAATACCTAAATTTACACACAACCACCAAACAGACCCCCTCCTCCCTCACCTCAATTTTAGTTATCTTTTAAGTTCATCATTAAAAAGAAGATCATTTGTGATAATTTTATATAATTTTCTTTGGTACAGGAATTCTTCATTGATTTCGTTGATTAAAGGCGGCTGCCTTTGACCTTAAGCACCTCAGATGTCCAACTAATGGATGATAACTAGAAACTGAAAAACCTCAACCAGTCAACGTAGACCCGTGTGCAAATTAAAAACCTTTGCTTCCGTTCAATGAAACCGAGCACAATCAAGACCAATGCGCCTAAACTGCATATTCTATCATTCTTGCAGCAATCCTTAACGAGAACGCAACCCATAAATGAATTAACCAAAGACCAATTCTCCATCTCCAACACCAAATTCAGCCCCGAGTTCAAAGACACCATCCTCACTTCTTCCCTTCCTCAAAGCTACGTGTCCTACCAAATACATCACTTTGTGCATTTACGCGCTAAAAACCAAACTTCTCCCCTCTTTCCTCACTTCAACCGCGAACCACTATAAATCCCCTCTAATTAAACTCCAACTCAAACATCTCAATCTCAATCTCAATCACGAACATGGACCCAAAGCAGCCAAATCTCAACGGAGCCTACTATGGCCCCCCAATCCCCCCTCAGCCTCAATCCTACAACAACATCGGCCGCCGTTCCTCGTGCGGCCCTTGCTCTTGCCTCTGCTCCCTCCTCAAAGCCCTAATCTCCATCATCGTCATCCTCGGCATCGTCGTCCTCGTCCTCTGGCTCGTCTTTCGTCCCAACGAAATCAAAGTCTACGTGACCTCCGCCGACCTCTCCCAGTTCAACCTCACCAACAACAACAATCTGCAGTACAATCTGTCGCTCAACATGTCCATTAGGAATCCCAACAAAAGGATCGGAATTTACTACGATTATATGGAAGCTCGAGCCATTTACGATGGTTCAAGATTTGGGTACACGAATAATTTGCCGACCTTTTATCAAGGGCATAAGAATACTAGCGATTTCTTCCCGGTGTTTCAAGGCCAAAGTTTGGTGTTTGGCGATTCTCTGAAGGGCACTTACGGCAGAGAGAAAGGGGAGGGGTTTTATTATGTTGAGGTGAAGGTTTATATGTGGATTAGGCTGAAGGTTTCTATTGTCAAGATTCGCGCTAAGCCTCACGTTGATTGTACGTTGAAGTTGCCAGTGCCGGGCTCCGGCGCGAAGTTTGAAGAGACAAGCTGCGATGTCGATTACTTTTGATTTGGGATCGCTTATCGTTTGTTGATACGTTATTATTTGATAGAGGGGATATTATTGTGGTTCGTACGCTTTGATGTATTCTTTTTTGGAGTTATACACATGTTTGCAGCATTTGTATGTATGCCATCGTTTATATACCTATGAATAAGACATTTTTTTTAGATAACTTTCGTAGCAATATTTGATCACATCATACGATGAACTCCTGTCAAACGATGACAAATAGATAACAAATATGTCAGGTAACATGTTCAATCTATAAAATCATTATGGGAATTCAATCTATAAAATCATTATGGGAATTGAATGGTAAAAGTATGAATCATAGTTATTCTCGTAAATGAGTTATTTTATGCAATAAAATAACAATAATATAACTTCATCATGGTATCCACAACTAATATATTTTATTTTTGTGAGTTTTGCTAAGGGACCCAAAATATGGGACCAATAGAGGGGACAAGTGAGGTGTCTCTCTCCTATTAGATAATGAGTTAGTCATCATTAATGATGGCCAACTCATTATCTAATAGGAGGGGGACACCTCACTTGTCCCCTCTATTGGTCCCATATTTTGGGTTCCTGTAGCAAAACTCTTAAGATATCGATGTGGTTGCATCTTTACACTTGTAAAAAATGAAGATGCGAGGCACCAATACTCATACCTTTCTCCACAGAGAGAACACTCTTACCATTTGAGCTACAACCTCAACATTATTTAGATAGATGTTAATTAAAGTAAAAGATAACTTTTATTTATAATTATTTACAAACAAATGACAAAGGCGAGGTATGGATCCTCGTACCGTTCTTCAAATAACACCCTACCATCGAAACTACATCCCGAACTTTATTAAAATAGATGTTAATTAGATGGTGTCGGTAACTTTTTTTCAATACAATTATATATTCAGTGTGGTCCGTGTGGATGTATAACCACATTAAGTGGAAGGTTAGTAAGTAGGGTACTGATCCGTGTGTAATGTATAACAACATTAAGTGGGAAGGTTAGTAGTAGGGTATAGAAATAAATAATGAGCTTTGCTATAGGGACCCAAAATATGGGACCCATAAAGGGGACAAGTGAGGTGTCCCCCTCCTATTGGATACCGAGTTGGCCATCATTAATGATGACCAACTCATTATCCAATAGGAGGGGAACACCTCACTTGTCCCCTTTATTGGTCCCATATTTTGGGTCCTTAAAGAATTTTTCATAAATAATATAGGGTACTGATCCACGTGTAATTATTTTTTCAGATTTTTTTATTTCTATGCTAATGTAAGAAACGGCCATATAGAGATGTGAGGGATCCATCATTTACCTTTCTCCAGAGAAAACAATCTACCATTTGAGTGACATTCTCAAACTTTATTTAGATAGATACTAATTAGAGTAAATAGATAACCTTATTTATAGTTATTAAAAAAATGAAGATGTGAGGTATCAATCCTCGTACCTTTTTCTACAAAGAAAACACTACCATTTGAGCTACATCCCCAACTTTGTTTTAATTGACGTTATTTAAAATAAATAGGTAACTTTATTTATAATTATTCGAAAAAGCATTGTAGATATGTTTTTTAAGAAAAAAAAATTGAGATTCAAAGTATTGATCCTCATACCTTTCTTCGTAGAGAGAACTCTCTGCCATTTGAGCTACATCACCGACTTTATTTTGATAAATGTTAATTAAAGTAAATAGACAACCTTATTTACAATTATCATACTCCCTTTAAAAGCACGAGTTTGGAAAATCTTTTTTAGACAAATATACCCCTTTATAGTTTGAACTACCTTATCTATAATAAAATTCTAATTTTCAATGGTCAATATTACCCTTCACTATTTTGAATATTTTATTTATATCTTAATCTATCCTAATCATAATCATATCTTATCCTAATCCTATGTGAACCATGTTTAGCTTAACAATTTAAAAAAACTAATATTAATAAAATATATAAAACATAAAAATGATATTAGTTTGTTAAGATAAAGAAATTACAAGTAGATAACATATTATAATACATAAAGTATTGCAAAAAAACCATAAAAAGTTTTAAAATTGCAGAAAAGACCCTGAAAAGTTCAAAATTATAAAACTCATCCAAATGTCTCAAAACTTAAAATAAAAAATATGAAATTAAAAAATTAATATCAATTTGTAAAGAATTTAAAATTTACAGTTAACACCTCAATGTCTCAAAAATTATAGAAACACCCTCAAAAGTTTAAATTACAGACATGCACATTAAAATTCTAAAATTTTAAAACTTACAAACAACACAGATGAATTCAAGAGATTACCATGATACACCAAAAATTTTTGACATTTAAATTTAAAAATTTTAATTAACACCCTCAATATCTCAAAATTTATAGAAACACCTTCAAAAGTTCAAATTATAAAAAACCACCCTAAAATTCTAAAATTTGTAAATAAAATAAGATGAATTCAAGATATTACCCTTAGACACCTAAAAATTAAAACTTGCCAAAATTAACCTCAATTTTTAAAAAACATATTATAATACATGAAGTATTGCAAAAAAACCATAAAAAGTTTTAAAATTGCAGAAAAGACCCTGAAAAGTTCAAAATTATAAAACTCATCCAAATGTCTCAAAACTTAAAATAAAAAACATGAAATTAAAAAATTAACATCAGTTTGTAAAGAATTTAAAATTTACAGTTAACACCTCAATGTCTCAAAAATTATAGAAACACCCTCAAAAGTTTAAATTACAGACAAGCACATTAAAATTCTAAAATTTTAAAACTTACAAACAACACAGATGAATTCAAGAGATTACCATGATACACCTAAAAATTTTGACATTTAAATTTAAAAATTTTAATTAACACCCTCAATATCTCAAAAATTATAGAAACACCTTCAAAAGTTCAAATTATAAAAAATCACCCTAAAATTCTAAAATTTGTAAATAAAATAAGATGAATTCAAGATATTACCCTTAGACACCTAAAAATTAAAATTTGCCAAAATTAACCTCAATTTTTAAAAAACTCCTTCAAAATTTAAAAATCGTAAAAAAAAAACTCTAAATTTTCAAAATTTTTAACTAGCACACATCAAATTCGTCGATTGGTAGACCGCTGAAATTTAATATTTTTCAAAATTAATCTATAGTTTTAATAATTGCATATATATATATATATATATATATATATATATATATATATATATATATATATATATATATATATATATATATATATATATATATATATATATATATATATATATATATATATATATATATATATATATATATATATATATATATTAAAATTTCTAATTTAGGGATTTACTATCCATTTTCAGCATCTAAGAATAGTCTAAGTTGATACTGGTAAACAAAAACAATAAGAATTGATTAAAAACATCCGGTTAATGGATAAAATTTTTAAAAATATTATAGATTAAAAATTATCGGCACTATATAAATTAAAGTAATTTCATATAATTTTAGTAATAAGTTGGGGTAGCCAAAATACATTCGTAACATTAATTGATAGATGTTTAAATCCATAGAAATGATAAAACACTATAATATTATACCTTAGCATTAATTGATTTTAATTTAGAAACTTTAATCTTTGACGTTAATAATATTTATAGGGTAAAAGAATACAAGGAATTACATATGGAGAAACTATTAGAATATTTAGAGATAACTTTAAAAGAATTGAGTTATTTCCATTGCAAATGGGAAAGTGATGGAAATAAATCTAAAATTCAGAAAACGTCAATGAATCACTTGAATTGGCATTAACATAAGACATATCTATTAATGAAGCACTGAATGAGTTACATTAAAAAATAATTTAATAACTTTATCCTAATCAAAGAAAAAATCTCCATGGAAGACATAAGAAAAATTAGTAAGTATTCATAAATTCCATACTGTGTTCTTCAAATTAAATATTAATATTATAATCTAAGAGAAATTGGTAATGAATAATGCAGGTATTTAGTTTAGATCTTTACAGGGATATAGCAAAGGTAATATTATTGAAATAACCGAAATTCTTATTGGATGCATATCAAAAGAATTCATTTTAGAGGAAAATAAAGAGATAGCTTCTAATTTATTTAAGTAATAAATTAGGAACACAAAGAATTTTATATATATGAAATTAATATTTATTCTCATTGAAATAGAAAAAAAAAATCAAAGTCTATATTTTGAGCAGTTTGTGTTGAACATCATAAGTACATTTGACTTCTTTGTAAAGTTAAATGAGATGATAAAAAATTAACGAGCCCAGGAAATATAATAGCATAAAAAATACAAAATTAGCCTGATGTCACAATTAATGTAGATGATGAAGATGATGAAGACAATACTCTAGAATTGTCCGAGAAATGATAAATGATAAACCTGAAGAAGGATTGATCTTAACTCAATAAAAAATAAAATAGAAGAAATAAAAACAATATTTTATGAATATTTTATAGAATAGTTTAATTATTTTGAGTAAAATTAGGAATCTTTAGAAGGGAGTTTCATGAATTTTTTTCAGTACTTTTATATTCTTATGTGGATGTTTTTATCATATAAAAGTATACTAGAGTTAGCATTAATCTTTAATTTATATTTTTTTATGAAGTCTATCAATGATTAGGAATAAACTTCATATTCTCTTTTGCATCGTTTTAACATACTTTAAATCAATCATTTTGCCATATTGGTTTTAAACATTCACCTTCCTTGTATAACACTATTTTAATATTTTTCACTTTGCAATGCTATACTTTCTCAAATAAAGCTTAGTTTCATATCTGTCAAAAATAATATGAATATTCAAATTATTTTTAAATTATATTTGTTTTTTGTCAATTCAAATATCAACATGAAAATTTAAATTGGGTGTATCCCATTTAAACAAACATAAAAAAATAATCGGGATGTAAGAGTTTGAAGAAAAAAATGAGCACAAACTGCAAAAAATACTTAATCATGGTATTAAATCACGTGCATTGCACGTGTGTAAACACTAGTATTCATAAAAAAAGGGAGATGCAAAGTATCAATCCTTGTGTACCTTTCTTTGCAAATAGAAGACTCTACAATTTAGGTACATCACCACTTTACTTAGATAGATGTTAATTAAAGAAAATAGATAACTTCACTTACAATTATTCATGGAAAAAAAATTGGATATACATGGTATCTATCAAAAATAGGTAACTTTATTTACAATTATTCATTAAAAAATGGAGATGTGAGGTATCGATCCTCATACCTTTCTCCGAAGAGAAATTACTTTATTATTTAAGCTACATCCGCAACTTTATTTTGATAGAAGTTAATTATAATTAGGCTTTTTTTATATATACAGCCCTCAAATCATAGCTATTTTGTAATTCACCACTCAAATCATTATAATTTGAAATTTACCCTCAAATCGTACCCATCCCCCAAATGTTCCCCCACTACAACAAAAGTTGTATATGTCCACGCTTATTTTAGGATACATATAAAAGTGTTATTTTATTTACAAAGAATTAAATAATAGTGACACAAATAAAATAATGTGGCAAATCACGACACATATTTGTGTCATTAGATATACAATTAAATATAAGTGAAAAAAGCTAATAGGTCAACATGGATTGTGAGAGGATATATTGATGCTCTTAAATAATAAATCTTAGATGTTAATTATGATGATGATTAGATTTTTTTTTTGGTCAACGAATTCAATTTTATTCATTACCCAAATATGAAAAAATTTATGTACATCAAAACATCCAGACCAAAATCTGGGAATCAACTAGTAAGAAAAATTACAATCTCTCAATTTTCTCTTTTATGTATACATGGATTTTGTCATTCAAGATTTTTGAAAGTATAGAGATCTTGATATTTCGAAATAGTACTGCAGGAGCTCTAAACTTTTGCTGGAAGATCCGTTGATTCCTCTCAATCCAAATCGCATACACAGTAGCAGATAAAGCTAGCCTCTTCAGTTTCTTCATGAACCCCTTTCCCCTTAGCTTGTTGCTATACCAGTCGATGATACTTTCCCAACTACAAGACCTCCATTTGTATTCCAGCCAGTTCATCATATTGTTCCACGCCTCAACAGAATACTGACATTCAAAAAGGAGATGCTGGCAGGTTTCATTGCGCTGATTTGAACACAAGACACATACATTTGTGTCCAGTATTCCCAAATGACATAACATATCCTGTGTTAATAGCTTTGCATGAATAGCTAGCCAAAGTATAAAAGAGTGCTTGGGGAAATTCCAATTGTCCCAGACAGTGTCTGACCAGTGCACCTTAGGAGAATGCTGTGCAATTTCTTTGTAAATAGAGGATATAATGATTTTGCCACCAGAACAGCATTTGTTGATTGCATTATGCAGATTATAAACATTCCCAAATTTACTTATGAGAGTATCTCTCACCTTGAGAAGTTGTTTCCACATCCATGAGTTGTCACCCTCACTTGAACTTGCCAGATATTATTCTGTTTCAGGTAATTTTCATGAACCCACTTTATCCACAACAAATCTTTCTTTAAATGTATCAGCCATAAAAGCTTAGTAGCAGCTGCAAGATTCCAGTTCTTTGCCGAAAACACTCCAAGACCTCCCTATTTTTTATCTTTACAAATAGTCTCCCATGACACAAGATGCATTTTATGATTCCAAAGGAACTTAGAACATAAACTGTCAATTTTCTCTAGGATTTTAATAGGTAGGATGTAGTTACTTGTCCAGAATATTTGAATCCCCAAGATAACAGATTTAATCAGCTGCAATCTACCAGCATAAGAAAGATTTTTGCTCTTCTGCCATCTTTGAAACTGATCATTGATTTTATTGATCAGAGGGGAACAATCTAGAGAGGATAGCCTTTTAGAGATTAAAGGCATTCCCAGGTATCTAACTGGTAATACCCCTTCAGGAAAATCCAAAACAGTCCAAATCTGCTGCTTTAATCTATCATCAATGCCACTAAAATATACAGAGCATTTGTTTGGGTTAACTTCTAACCCAGAAACTTGACTGAACTCCTGAAGACAATCATATAGCTTTGAGCATTTGTTTGGGTTAACTTCTAACCCAGAAACTTGACTGAACTCCTGAAGACAATCATATAGCTTTGTAATGGAATAGATGTCAGCTTCTCCAAATAGAAGCAAATCATCAGCAAAGAAGAGGTGAGTGATATTTAACTTGAAACATTTAGGATGATGTTTGAATAAACTGTCATTTTTAAGAGTGTTTAACCTTCTTGACAAATACTCCATTCCAAGAACAAAAAGATAAGGAGAGAGGGGATCACCTTGCCTCAGGCCTCTAGCTCCTCTAAAATATCCATGAAGTGTTCCATTCAAGGAAAGAGAGAACTTTGTAGAGGTAATACACTCCATGATCCATATTATCATTCTGTTAGGAAACCCCAGCCCAGATAGCATGGATTCAATGAAACTCCAGCTAATAGTATCAAATGCTTTCCTTAGATCAATGTTTAGAGTAGCTCTAGGAGATGTCTGTTTTCTGCCATAATGCTTTACCAGTTCATGTGCCAATAATATGTTACTAGAGATACTTCTACCTCTGATGAAAGCACTTTGCCCTTCACCAATCAACAAACCCAAAACTTCTTGTATTCTGCTAGCAATAATTTTTGAAATTATGTTATATACATAGTTGCAGCAGGAGATTGGCCTAAAGTCTGAAGGTGTTTTAGGATTGTGTATCTTTGGTACCAATGTAATAGATGTAGAGTTGAAAGTTCCAAGAAGTTTACCAGACTTGAAGAATTCCTCAACAGCTAGATAAACATCTTCACTGATAATTTCCCAAGCAGCTTTGAAAAAGGAGGCATTATAACCATCAGGTCCTGGGGCTCTTTCACTTGACATAGAGAAAACTGCATTTTTTTTCTCCTTTCTAGAAACTGGAAGAACCAGGGAATTATAAAATCATGATGATTTATCCACATACTAAAAAATTTGAATGGTCTTTTACCTTTAAAGTCATCTTCTCCAATTGTAATGAGACCTGGGGAATGATCAGAGCAGTTTGGAGCCAGATAATCCACTTGACTGGAGGTGTAAGACTGGATCCATTCATCATTAATTAATACTCTATCTAGTCTACTCCAAATTCTAGAATCAGCCCCTTGTTTGTTGTTCCATGTGAAAAAGCAGCCAGTAGTCTTCAAATGAGTCAATTGACATGTAGAGATAAAATTTATGAAGTCTTCAGTATCATAGTCAGAGACAGGAGTACCCCCTAGCTTTTCTTCATTGCTGATTATTGCATTAAAATCACCCCCAATGATCCATGGACATGTAACATTTTCCTTGAAAGAAATTAGATCATGCCAAAGCTTCTTTCTATCTTCCAGATTATTCATAGCATAAACCACAGTAATAATGCATGATAACTTGCCATCCTTGGAATTGACATAACATGATATTAACTGATCAGAAGTTGATATACATTGAATGGAGAGCATGTCATTATCCCACAGAATCCAAATTCTTCCCTTATTTGCTTGCTGAGAGTTAGAGTACCAACTCCAATTTTTTACCATTCTCCTTGCAATCCATTGCATTTTATTGCCTGCAACTTTAGTTTCTAATAGAGCTATGAAAGAAAGATGGAAATCATGAACAAATTGTTTCACAATCATGTGTTTTGAGGATTTATTCAATCCTCTAATATTCCAAATGGCAAGTTGCATTATTGGGATAAGCCACCTCTGTCCAAGTTAGAAGGATCAAGATCATGTACCTGACAGTTCAATAGAGAGAATTAAGATGCCTGAATATAGGAAGATGCCAGGTTTGCCTTGTCTCCAATATTAACCCTTTTAGCAGCATTTGCCCTATTAACACTTGAAAAACCAGAGACATTAACAGTAGGGGAGGTAATATTTGCTAAACCCATATATCTGGAAGCATGCACAGAAACTTCCCCAGAGCTGGTTACTGTTGGTGCATGTTTATGAGGCAGATTCTTTCCAGAATTACCATTTACTTTACCAACAGAATCTTGAGTTGTAATAGGCTCTTGTATTTGCTCATTAATAGTTTGAGTATGTACTTCCTTTACAGAACCCTTAGCCTTCTCCTGTATATTATTAGCATGTTCATCCGGAGCTAGTGCACTTGTTACCTGTTGCTTAGGAACCCACACTTTTTTCAAAATTTGCCTTCTACATTTCTCAGTCATATGCCCAACTATATTACAATTTGTACACCATCTTTGTTTGAGTTCATACACTATCTTTTGGTTATAGCACTTCCCATCAGGCCCTTGGACAACAATCTGATCAGGGAGAGGTTCTTTTAGAGGTAATTTAATTTCAACCAAAACTCTAGCATAAGATAATCTCTCTCTTGTGACAGGCAGCTTATCTGTAGTAATAGAAATACCAACAGTACTAGCAATCTTACTGATACCAGAGGAGCTCCATAAATTCAATTTCAGATTTGGCAACTGAATGCACATAGGATAATTATAGTCTTGAATTTTCTCAATTTCAGTATCAAGAGACCAATGTTTTAAAACAAAAGGTCTTGATCCAAAGAACCATGGTCCAGCCTCTAGAATCTCATTCATTTGATGCTCTGATTGAAACTCAAAGAGAAATAATCCTTGTCTTATTAAAAGGACTTTAGGTATAGAGAATTTCCCCCAAATTTTATTGACATAGGTTTCCATAGATTTGAATTTAACGTTCAAACCAATGACATGCCCTATCAGTGCAAATTTCCAATAATCCTCACCTTCCTTCCATTCATCCATAGAGAAAGAAACAGCATTAGCTTGAGATGGTTTGATAAAGTTCAGTTCTAATCCATTACCATGTTTCCTGTTGTCAGCAAATAGACTAGCAAATGTTTTTTTATTTTCTGGAGCTTTATTTTCCAAATTTGCATCAGCCTTTTGTTTTTCCATTTCAGAGTCACTACCAGTCTCTACAACAACTGAAACCAGATCATCAGCGTTTTCAGATCTAACAACTTGAGGAGGATCAACCATAAGATTTGAATCATTTTCAATCACATTAGAGTTCAAACATCCATTTTGATTATGATGGATATTATGATCAATCAGATCAGGATCTAAATCTTCTTCAATCTCATCAGACCATAGAGAGGAGTTTGGAGATTTACCTAGCTGACGAGAAATCAGCTTACCAGAGTTTAGCCTGGGAGTTTGAGGATCAGTTAATGGATTTGATTTTGCTAAGATTTCCTCCATCAACATCTTCTTCCTTGCTCCTTTAGGTCCAGTGCTCTCCATTTCCATCTGAGGAATCACTGTTTTATTACATTCAACCTCATCTCTGGAGGAGGAAGATCCAGCTCCCAGCGACGAAGAAACTGAAGGATAAAGGAAGATAGAATCCCTCAGCTCTCTATTTTGGACTCCATTGCTACTAGATTTCTTCTTCTTCGCCATAGAAAACCAGGCGGAGGAGCACGATAGCAAGGAGAGATTCGCCTGCTAAAGTGCGCCAAAAAACAGACCGCCAAAGTGCTCAAAAAACTTTATTGTTAAGCATGCTTTGATGAGATTAATCTTAAAATGGCTGACCTTCTGGGAAGATGTAGTGTTAACTGGTTATACTCTTTATATTTTCATGGTCTAAACATAATTATGTGTCACCACTCTTGGCACATGAATGTGTCAAGAGTTTTGTGGCACATGTATTTGTCACCACTTTCGACATATATATTTGTCGTGAGTTTTACGACACATTCGCACATGTGTAGAAAAACGCTCTCCACACATGTTCTAACCATACTTTTGATATGTGTCGCGCTCTATTTGTGCGATACAAAAATGTCTCACGTAGAGACAAAAAATGTATCATAATTTACAACTTTTATTGTAGTGCCCCCAAGTTAACATCCGGTAAGTTTTACACCTTTTAAGGGACAAATTGTCCTCTTTAACCTTGCTTAATTATTTTAAAGATAGCATATTAGAAGAAGGGGAACAAAAAAAAATTCCATTTCAGCTTAAATCCAAACCTGTATTAAACCAGATACGTCTTAAAACATAAACCCCCAATTATGTATGATCTCTTCCCTTCATCTAACTCCCTTCCTTCGGCCAATGCTTTGGTGCTTTTTTTCTTTCGGGAAAACAAACCCCATGCCATGAGTTACACGCGGTCAACAGCAAGACGTCCGTAGCCGGCGAAATTTGGTTGGTGACTAATCTACATTGCACACGCTTTGGCAAATACCTTGAGTCCAATTTCGACGAAACCAAAACAGTTATCTTAATTTAACAATTAAATGATAATAAATTTCTTCTGCGTACACAATTGACATCAATCGCTTAGAGAGATTTCGATGCAATTGATAAAACATTAACTATCCACAATTTTTTCCCCAAAAAGCAATAATGTGAGTTACATCAGAAATTTACAATGAGAAGTAAGTGAATTTAGCCCCAGAAATGAGCTGATGTTAGACAATCAAAGCCATTGACACCAATAGTAATCTCTTTAAAAATTCATTTAGACCCATGGTTGAAATTATATATTGGAAATGGAGATATGTGAGAAGAAGGCAATAATTCACGAGAAGATAGTGATATCTTTGTCTTTGCTTCTCTGACGATTAGTCGTCGTTTTTTTTTGTCAATGAAATTTTTTTATCATTTATCAAAATGTGAAAATTATGTACATCAAGATACTCAAATCTAAGCAAAACTAATAAAAAAAAACCAAAATCAACATAGTATAAAGAAACTCAACCAGCTAAACACATATGATTGACTTCACAAAGAGAGAAGCCAATCCTTCTTTTCGGCTGGAAAAGAACTATTGAGGATGATAGACAATATATCAATTTTAATCTCCCTGATGATTTGATCCATACTTTTGACTTTTTGTTTGAAAACATTGGCATTGCGCTCCTTCCACAAACTGTAAACTGTTGAAGAAATAGTCATTCTTTTCCCTCTTTGCTTGAATCCCTGATGCGTCGTCGTTAGCCGGGAATATTGGGTCCGGGTTATTTTGCTGAGCCAGCAGAAGACACAAACGCGAGGGAAGGAAAGGAAGCACACGATCTGAGTTTGATTTTTTTTAAGTTTATAATGGGTTGGGTTTATTATTATTAATGTGCTCAATTTTAGTTTTAATGATTTTTCTTTCAGAAACAATTACATAGGGCTATAGAAGTAATTTGAATTATAAAGATTTGAGGGGCAAATTTAAAACTAGCTATGATTTGGGGGTATATATCGAAAAAAAACCTTATAGTAGATATGTAATTTTATTTATAATTATTTACTAGAAAAAAATGGAGATACAACGTATCAATCATCGTATCGTTCTCTGCAGAGAGAACACTCTACTATTTCAGTTACATCCCCAATTTAATTTAGATATATGTTAATTATACTAAATAATTTTCTTTAGGTGACTCATCTCCTACCTTATTTTGATAGATGTTAATTAAAGTAAATAGATAACCTTATTTATATTACTCACAAAAAAAGGATATGCTTAGTATCGATCCTCGCTCATTTCTTTGAGAAGAGCAAACTCTACCATTTGAGCTACATCCTAACTTTGTTTAGATAGATGTTAATTAAAGTAAACAGATAACTTTATTTATAATTATTCACAAAAAAGATGGAGATGTGAGGTGCTGATCCTCGTACCTTTCTCCGCAAAGAGAATACTCTACCATATGAGCTACATACCCTACTTTATTTTAATAGATGTTACTTATAATAAATAGGTAATTTTATTTATAATTATTCACTAGAATAAAATGGAGATGCGAGGTATCGATCCTTGTAACTTTCTTCGTAGAGAGAATACTCTACCATTTGAGCTACATCTCCAATTTTATTTTAATAAATGTTAATTAAATTAACATATAACTTTATTTAAAATTATTCACTAGAAAAAATGGAGATGTGAAGTATCATTCCTCGATCATACGGTTCTTGGCAGAGAAAACACTCTACCATTTGAGTTATATCCCCAACTTTTTATAGATAGACGTTAATTAGAGTAGATAATTATCTTTAGGTGACTCAGATCAAATATAAGTAGGTACTCTAGAAAATTATGCTAGAGAAAGATGAATCCAGTAAGTTTAAGAGACAAAACATATGTCTTAACCCTCCAATCACCGAACTCGTTGGCTTTTATGTTTGAACAATGAAAATGCCTCAGGGACCTCAAAATAGAGGATCCCGAGTGGGACAGGAGAGGTGTCGCCTCCCTGTCTCGTGATGCACTGTTCATAAACAGTGCATCACGGGACAGAGAGACGACACCTCACATGTCCAATGCAGGGTCCTCTATTTTGGGGTCCCTGTGACAGCACTCTTGAACAATAGTTGTTCTACTATGACGGCCAGATGAAATGAGTAATGTTACCTAATCATTAGTCAACCTCATAAACCTAGAAAAGATAAACAAATGAAAATATATGTGCCTCTTATAGAACGGAAAAATTATCAAATTGATATATTTTGTTAAACTATGTGATAGATTGATATATTATCTTACTTCGATAACAAATATGATATATTTTATAGGTCATAGTGTCAAATAGCCTTTTCTTTTTTGCTAGAACCAAAATTCTGGCCAAATAGTCACGTGACTCGTCACGTACATTCGATATGAACACTACAAGAAATCTGGTATTTAACGACCAAAATTAGTGAAGGGACCAGTTGACCGTCATTAATGTGCAACACTACAAGAAATCTGGTATTTAACGACCAAAATTAGTGAAGGGACCAGTTGACCGTCATTAATGTGCATACAATAACGACGGGTTTTAATCCCTTCGTAAAATTAGTGAAGGGACCAGTTGACCGTCATTAATGTGCATACAATAACGACGGGTTTTAATCCCTTCGTAGAGTGATTACAATTATTAGAGAAATAATATGATATGGGATAACGGATTTCTAATCCCTTCGTTGATTTGATCCTAATACCGTCATTATTGGGTCTCTTTAAAAACGAAGGGGCCCATTACCTTCATTGATGAGACTCCTAATCATAATTTGACTAAAATTAACCTATTGCTATAAACAAATTCCACAACCAAACCCGAAGCCCGAATTTTACAAACCCCTTAACTCCTAATCATCCTCTAACCACAATAATAATCAATTAAACCCTAGTTAAAAAAAATCTGTCGTTCACTTTATCATCCCTGCCTCCAAAACTCTTTCTCCCCCACGTCGTCCTCAATCAGGGTCGGCCCTGGGGTAAGCCCACCAAGCCTCGGGGCTGGGGCAACCCAGGGCCGGGGGGCAACCAATGCGCTCCCGTTCGAGACGCCTGCAATGAGATCGCCGATAACTTCTGTCGCCTCATCCCCTGCCTCGCTGATTCCGGTGCCCTAATTTTTTTTCTAGATTGTTTGGCCTCATTTTGGTCCGATTTGGTCTGATTGTCCCTTTTTCGTAATTTTTTGTTATTTTAGGGAAAAGATCTAAGCTTGGTGTGAAAGTGTTGCTGATTCTTCTTCATGTGATCCTCGTGGGCTCTGTGTTCCTCTTGGATTTGGATTTGATACGGAGAACTAGAAAAGAGCCCTGGTACTTTTTCTTCTACTTTTAATACTTATTGCATTTTAATTGGTTCGAGCTTTTCTCTTTATATAAGAAGTCAACGTGAAATGTAAGGAAGAGGATGTAGTGATTTGAATTAGAATTGAGATTATTTGAATGACAATTAGCATACTCTGTTTTTTTTAAAACAAATTGGATATAAATGCTGCCGAAATTTGTGCTCTTTTGAGATTGTTTATTGAACTCTGAAATGGGTCTGTGTTATCTTGAGATTCCAATACAGTCGTCTTCGCAAGTATTCACTTCTCAGGATAAATACTGGCTTTTCATGGATTATCTTGGAATTCCAGTATAGTATGGTATTATTATAGGGGTTAGGGTAAAGCTTTCCTTGTGCAAAATTCCAGTTAAAGTTTAGTAATTGGTTGATTCAATATTGAAATGGACCATGTAGGAGTAAGAGAATCTCTTGGATTCTATTAGTGATGGTTAGGATCATGGTCATAATGACTGATACTCCTTTCCTATCTGATAATCAACAAAGTACTAAGTTTTTATTATGAACGCTCGCAATACCTTGTTGTGCATAAAAATCGATCTTTTTTACTCAAATAGGATGTCTGTTAAGATTGTATGCAAGGGGCTTGTAATTGCTAAATCCTTCAACTCTTTAATACAGTTAATGATGATAACTATAATTTTGCATCTGTTCTTGAATTAGCTACCTGCTTGATTGCTGTAACAAATGGCAACAGCGTTTCATCCAATAACAACAACATAGACATTCAAGAAAATTTTTCTGGAATGGCTATGTAAATTGTTTTTTCCCCTTTCATGACCATAAAGGAATATCTCCTCGGTCATCACCAACTGCCAAAATCATATTTTGCTGTACAAATAATTGTTTAGTCTACAGCTTCTTGCATATATCTCTTAATTTAGACCTTTCACCGCTCCTTCACCGCTGGCTGCACTCCTCATTGATCGGTGGGTACGCGAAGCACGGGCAGTGTGACGAGGCGATAGGGGCTGTTTAGGGCTATGTTGAGGTGCGGCTTCAAGGCGAATGAGGCTACGGTAGGCAATTCGTAACTTGTTATCTTATTAGGATTAAAGCTTTTGGTAAGCAATTCGCTATTTCAATATCTTCAGTACATACATTTAGATACACTTGCTTCTTATTGCAGTAAATGCTCCTGTGCCTTCAATGAGGCCTATTATAATGACTTTTTTAGATACACTTGCTTCTTATTGCAGTAAATGCTCCTGTGCCTTCAATGAGGCCTATTATAATGACTTTTTTGTGGCTCAACATTCTTTTATTGCCTTCAATGAGGCCTATTATAATGACTTTTTTGTGGCTCAACATTCTTTTATTTGGTGAGTGTGAAAATAATTGGAAGTCTGATTGCTCACCATATTGGGTGCAGTCCTTAGGGTGGTGTTATGTGTAGTAAGCATGTCAATGCATTTTTACGCTGCAAACTGTACAAGTATTACTTCATTAATAATGTCAGATTTACAAACAATTACTTTATGGCTTCCAGGTTAGAGACGTGCGGCTGATCATGGATCGAAACTCGAGACGATCAAAAGGAGTTGAGTATGTTCTCTTGTTCTTTAACTTGTTTGTTGATGCATTATAGCAAGGTTCTTAGACATGCTTCCATGAGGATGATCCTTCTAAAGTTATTTTGCTCGATTATTCAAAAAGTCAGATAAGGAAAGAACATCACGTGATGGAGGTTTCAGGAAATAATGATAATAAACAACTTGAATTTTCACGAATGTTGTAAGGCATAAAAGGTGATGTTTCAGAAAAATAAAATACTTTGCACCACATATTTTGGGATCCTTCTTTTTTGATAGATTTTGAGCTTGAGGTAATCTACATTCAAAAGCAGATGCAGGTAGTTTGATTTAATTCATGGCATAAGAACAAAATTGATAGTCTATATTATCCGTTGTTATCTACTACATTACATAGACACAGATGTCAAATCTATGCAGGAACTACTTTGAAAGATTTGAGAGGACCGCTCCCTAGTCAATCTGATCTGGAAGCACGGGTTATAGAAGAAAAGAGAAAGAACCAGATACTTCAACAACGCTTAGATGAGCAGGAGCAACAATAATAAATGATGTCTGAGTTGGAGTCACAAGTGAAAGCTATGCAAGAACTTTTTTTTAGGCAATCACCTTCATTGACTCCTCAAACTCGAGAACATGTGCAGGACTAGGTAATTATTTTTTGTAAAATCTCTTATATACTTTTATGATTAATTACTTGCACTAAAAAATATGATTTTTACTTAATAAGATAATATTTGCTTAATTGATATTTCTTAATTATGTGATTTTTTTTAATTTTTCAGGCTATCCATGCAAGATTAGGAGGGGGGTAGCTCGAGTCTTCTTTCGATGATGATTAGAGATGAAAGAATGTGTCTTCCCAAAACTTTTATTTTAATTTGTTTTAGATAGTTTCAGGTATTTTTCTTTGGAACAATTAGGATATTAACTATTGTTATTACTATTGAATATTTGAGGATGGTGGAATTTTATTTATTGATGTTATTAATGAATGAAATTTTTATTTTCTCATAATATGATAGTTGCCTATGAATGGAAAAATTATTATTAATGTATATTAGAAATTTGTAGTCTACAATGACGGTTTTATAAATCGTATTTTGTTCATCAACGAAGGGAAAGCACCGTCGTTGATGGGTTACTAATTACCCATTATGGAGACTTTACGACGGTATCCAACCGTCATTAATTAGTCTTTAACGATGGAAAAATATCCCCGTAACTAATGGTAACGACAGGAAAATATCCCCGTAATTAATGGTAACGACGGGAAAATATCCCGTCACTGATGGTAACGACGGAAAAATATCTCCGTCACTGATGGTAACGATGGTGATGAAGAATTACAGAAAAATAGGCAGGAACTACAGACAGACTGGCGGTCGACCGCCGCGGTCGACCGCCAATGTGCACACGTCCTACTGCAGGTTTCGGAGATGAAGCGGTGACCGCCGGGTCGACCGCGATTGACTGTAATTGTTTTCTGCTCTCGGGTTTGGTGTTCGGTCGACCGCCGCGGTCGACCGCGAGACCTGCGCGGTCGATCGCCGCGGTCGACCGTCGAAGCGGTTTTGGCTGGGTTCAGTTTCCAGACCCGTTTTATTTTGGATTTGTATAAATACCCTTTGGGTGTTTTTTAGGGTATGCAAGGCAAAGGTTTTGAGCTGTTGAAAGGGGTTTTCTTTGGGCTTCTATTCTAGGAGCACTTGGAGAGATTGAGAGTTGATTTGTTGAGGGTTTATGAGAGATTTGTAACCCTAGTTTGTTCCTCTTGATTTCTAATAGTGAAAACTCCCCCCTCATTGCCCCGTGGACGTAGGCATCTTGCCGAACCACGTAAAACTGGTGTTTGATTGTTTGTGCTATTGATTTTGGTTGGTTCTTTATCTTTCTCAAAAATTGGTTTGGTTTCTAAAGGCACAACAATTGGTATAAGAGATTCGGGCAACACTTGGATTTTTTGGAGGTATAGATCAGTTGGGAAGTTCATCTAGAGCTTCGATTGGTGATAAAGATTGGATCTTTGTGGTAAAGTTTCTATCTTTTTCAAGTTGGATCTATTTCCTATTTGTTCCGCAATTATTTATTGGGTGCTTTGAGATATATGGCTGAAAAAGATAAAAGTGAGGAGGGTTCTTCTAGTGTGAAGGCCGTCCAAAGTTTGAATATACATTCTATAAAAATAGATATGAAAAAGTTCAACGGCACAAATAATTTTGGACTTTGGCGATGCGAAGTCATGGATGCGCTAAATGTGCAAAATTTAGAAGATACATTGGAGTTGGACGGGAAACCGACCGACGTTGATGAAAATGTTTGGAATAAAATAAATAGAACGGTGTGTGGTACGATTAGGTCTTGCCTTACCCAAGATCTAAAATATGATGTGATAAATAAAACTTCGGCAAAGAAGATTTGGGAGGTCCTAGAGGGCAAATATTTGACAAAGAGCATCGAAAATCGTTTGCATTTAAAGAGGAGGCTTTATCGCTTCCAATTGAAGAAGGGGACATCCATTAGTGATCACATGAACCACTACACGAAGCTACTTGCAGATCATTGTTGTTATTGAGTTCCTTGCCTGACGAGGAATATGAGACCTTCGTCCTCACTCTTATTAATGGGAAGGCATCTCTTTCGTATAGTGAGGTCACCGCAGCCCTTATGAACTATCAACTTTGAAAGAAGGACAAGGAGACTACCATCGAGCCGGTTGCGGGGGTATTGGTTGCAAAAGCTAGAAGTCCAAACAGTGGAAGAAGGTCGAAGTCTAGAGGGGGGCATCCTGTAGTTAGTAGGAATCAGTGTACCTTTTGTAGAGAGGATGGACATTGGAAAGCCGAATGCCCAAAATTGCAAGCCGTGAAGAATAAAGGGAAAGCTATTCAAGCTTCAGAGGTGAATGTTGCCAAGGCTAGTGGCGATGTTTCAGATTCAGATTCTTCGGGCTATTCGTGCCCAGCTCTTCCATCAGTTGATGTTGCCGACTCCACCGAGTGGATGTTAGATTCTGGTGCTACTTACCACATATGCCCTAGAAGGGATTGGTTCTCCAGCTTTCAGGAGTTGGAAAGAGGGGATGCTGTTCTTATGGGTAATGATCACAGATGCCCTATTGGTGGTATTGGTACCGTTCGGATTCGGACGAGTGACGGGATGATTCGGGAGTTGTTTGATGTGAGGTTCGTTCCTCAACTGAGGAAGAATATCATTTCACTTGGGTTATTGGAGGCATCAGGCTATAGGGTGACCTTGGTGGATTCTCGCTTGAAGGTCACATCGGGGTCCATGATTGTGATGAAGGGCGTCAGACGGAGTAACTTGTATTATCTGCTTGGGAGCACGGTAGTTGATAGGGCGCTGACTACTTCTATGGCTAGACTGTGGCATTGTTTGGTGCTGGGATATATTGTTGGTTATACCGTGCACAGATTGTTGAGGAGTGCTATGACCTGCAGATTGAAGTCCTGTGAGCACATTGGTATGAGCGAGAAGACCGAGGTGGAGTTCAGCACTTCTATCCATCGATCAAGGGGTCTTATTGGAGGTGTTCAGTCAGGCATTGGGGGGCTTTCCGAGGAGGCATCATCGGGAGGTAATCGTTATTTTGTTTCCTATGTTGGGGATTGTGCTAGGCATATTTGGGTTGCAAGCAAATCCCGTTGGTATAAAGCCCTAGTAGTCCATAACAGTTGGAGGAGGTGTATGGGTAGAAAGGTTACCAGTCGTACTTATTCTAGTAGGGGTTCTTTCGTGTATTGGTGCCGAGCTCATGGCAGTTGGAGACACTTCAGAGGAGAGGAGACAGTGGGGCGACGTGATGAGATGGCAGATTTAGAGGGTCGTTCCTTTCTGGAGGAGGATCGGCATTGGACGTCGAGCAGTGGATTCGGTATTCAGGCTTCGACAGGTTTGGGCCATCTTATGAGGTTGCCGACTGCTACGTTAGATATTGTTAGATATTGTTAGATCTGGTGGAGCTGCTTCAGATTTTGGTCGGCGTCGGATATTTGGCTACCCAGCACTTGGTCACATCGTTGATGTGAGATTGGATCCGATTGCGCATTTGGAATTCAGGAGTTCATTCGGCTATCAGTTGGGAGCTTCTGAATTTGGTCTGAGCAGGTTTGTCACTTTGGACTCTCGGCAAGTGGAGAGTATTGATCAGGTCAGAGGGATATCGCAGAGGGTGGAGGGTGATGCTACTCCACATTGGGTGGGGATTTCCCCACATACTCCAGGTCATTTTGTATTGGTTGGGATTCCAGCTGAGGTGGCACAGCGTGGAAGTCATTTATTTATGGGTGCAGATGATGAGGTGGTTGATTTGGATGCAGCTGGTGGATATGTTTTGGATACGGCCAATGTTTCATCTCAGGTGGAGGTGTTGGACTGTTTTCAGATTGGGGTCGTTGATGATGCTATCAGCTACAGGTTGGATTGAGGGCCTTTGGAGGCCATTGGGTGAACTACGTGAAGGCTTGATTCCTTGGGCAAGAGGATACGTAGGCAGTCTTTATGATGCAGCCGATTTGGTGAGCGACATCGACATTTAGGGTGAGTGTTTGCACTCCCATTTGGGTCTTAGCAAGTGAGGCATTTGGTGTAGTCGGTGTAGGCTCAGTCGATTTGGTGAGTAGACACAGTTGGTTTGGGGTTGAGTGTTCGCACACCCGTTTGGGTCTCGACATGTTGTGGATGGGGTCCGTTGTCATGAGTCCGTTGCCATGACGTACTGGATGCAGCAGTTGAGGTATTGTTTTGATCGGTGTCGGCTCGGTTTTTTGGTGGAAACATTCGCCGAGGTAGAGAATTGAAGAATTACAGGAAAACAGGTAGGAACCAGCAGACAGACTGGCGGTCAACCGCCACGGTCGACCGCCAACGTGCACACAGTCCTACTGGGTTTCGGAGATGAAGGCGGTCGACCGCCGCGGTCGACCGTGGATGACTGTAATGGATTTTCTCTCGGGTTTTGGGGGTTCGGTCGACCGCCGCGGTCGACTGCGAGACCTGCGCGGTCGACCGCTGCGGTCGACCGCCGAAGCGTTTTTGGCTGGGTTCAGTTTCCAGACCCGTTTCATTTTGGATTTGTATAAATACCCTTTGGGTGTTTTTTAGGGTATGCAAGGCAAAGGTTTTGAGCTGTTGAAAGGGGTTTTCTTTGGGCTTCTATTCTAGGAGCAATTGGAAAGATTGAGAGTTGATTTGTTGAGGGTTTATGAGAGATTTGTAACCCTAGTTTGTTCCTCTTGATTTCTAATAGTGAAAACTCCCCCCTCCTTGTCCCGTGGACGTAGGCATCTTGCCAAACCACGTAAAACTGGTGTTTGATTGTTTGTGCTATTGATTTTGGTTGGTTCTTTATCTTTCTCGAAAATTGGTTTGGTTTCTCGAGGCACAACAGGTGATAATTACTGTCGTAAATGTTAATGACGGTAATATGTTCCGTCGTTATAGACTCTATAACAACGGGTAGTATATCCATTCGTGACACTTTAGCGAAGAGGGCTTCAACGACGGGTGACGAATGGATTTTTCCCCGTCGTTAGCATACAATAACGAAGGTTTTCAGCTCGTTAACGAAGGGAAATCCCTTCGTTAAAGATGTAATTTCTTGTAGTGGAAGAAGTGGGCTTACGTGACTAAGGGTTAGCAGGATATAAGTAATTGTTATGAAACAAAACCC